AAAGTGTCTGTTTACTCTGAAATTATTTGAAAGCCTATTCAAAGATTTCAGGGACTCTTCAGAATTGTGGGAGATGTTAAGGGTGGGGGGTGTAAAGATGCACAAGCACAAAAAAATCTCCCTTTCCACTCCCACATCCCCTAGCTTTGTTGACAAAAATGTTTTTCAATCAATAATGTCTGTAAATGGTAGAATAAGAGACTTATTCCCAAGAAACAGTTTTAATAAGCTGTAAAATATATAAGTTTAAATATTTGTGAAGAACATACTGCAGCTTAACCCCATTTTTAAAGACTGTATGAAAGCAACACTGAAAGCAAATAAAAAACTGTTCATCCTGTTGTGTCATTTGACCTTTAAAATAAAATTTGGCTGTTGTACACAAAATTGCAATATAGACAACCTCATGTACTAAACATGAGATACAGTATGTATCAGCTTCAGTTTTCAATATTTTAAAGGCAGAAATATCTAAGGATGTTATTCATTTTAATATTGGGGAGAGAGCTAAAACATTGCTTGTAGAATTACTATATTGCTGAACAGAGAGAAAAGGTCATCATGATTAATTGGAATTCTGCTGTAGCTAGTTGTAGAAAGAATTCTAGTAACTTAGCAGACATATTGGCACTTCAATGCAGGGGAAAAGAGCAATGTAACTTTGTATTTAAACATCTCCCTCTGCAGAAATAGCAGACTAAAGAGGGTGATCCATCCTCATCCTCTTGCTTAAGAGTCCTGTTCGGATATCGCTCCTGTGCAAAGAGTGAGTAAACAGTTCCAGTTGTACTGCTTATTTATACTAGAATATCATACAAACTTATTGTCATGCTGCAGTTGCAATTCTACGCTGGAAGAAGATCTAGTTAAAACTTAGATTTTCTGTTTTGGTCATACCTTTGCATAAAAATTCCAGTAAGTGTAGTTCTTTTTTTGATGAACTATGCATGTCTCAGTGTGCTGTTTTGAGATATAGCAGATAACACATAATTTATGGAGAAGATTTATTTCCTTTCAGTTTTCAGTGGGAAAAATGGGCAGTATGTGTTGCTAAAGAGAAAAGTGTTATCAGATTGTTTTTTACATTCTGCCAGGTTCATGTTAATTACCTTGTCTATCTCTGCTTCTGATGTTTTGTTTTAAGAGACCAACTTATGGTCTGCTGTAAGCTAGAAATCTTTCTTGAAAGTAAGAATAACTGATAGGCATGTTCTTTGGATATTTTTCATAACAACTTCCAGAATTCAAGAAAAAACTTTTTTTAATTATTTAAATTATCAGAGGAGATTCAGGATTTCTTGCAAAGTCCCTCTGTGCAGATGACCACACAGAATAACATGGGTGGAGCTTTCTTAGTTCCATACAGGATGGGTAAAAAAAATCATTTTTAAAAAGTCAAATTGATTTAAATTACGTGGGTAAAAAAAAATTCATTTTTTAAAAAGTCAAATTGATTTAAATTACAATTTAAATTCAAAAATCAATTTTAGAAATTTCTCGAGTTTTCTGTATTTCTGAGTAGAGTCTCTAGCCGTCTTTTGATTTTCTGAAATTTCTCGAGTTTTCTATATTTCTAAGTAGATTTTCTTCTGATCTTCTATAGCACACTCAATGACAACAGACTAGAATTTCTGATTCATGAGTCCAGAGGGTACTTCAGATATACATGCACCATAAAGTAAGCGGTTCTTGGAGCCTTCCAGATCATCCAAGAGTTTATTGACAACTTCGTCAATAATCTCTGTAGCATGTAACAGGGACTCTTGCTCCTGTGGATTTCAAATGGTTTCTACTGAAACCTCAACCGTGAGAGTCCTGCCCATCAGGTGTTTAGCAGTCAGATTGAGTTCTTCTCTCTCGCCTTCACTAACATTCCTTGTGTCCTGCCTGTTTTGTATATTGTGGATCATTTCCAAAAGGGTTTCTTTTTCTTGCTCCATTGAAGAGGCTGCCTCACGCAAAGCTTCAGCTCTCAGCTCCAGCTGGTTGAGGCACTCCAGGAGGCGGCTGGAGTGGTCTGCCATGGAGGTGGAGCGGAAGAAGCCATTTTTTTAAAATTTAAATCCTAAAAAATTTTAAAATGTGATTTAAATAATTATTTAAATCAATTTGATATATGTAGGGAAAAAAGAAATCCAAAAAATCCCATGCCTAATAGTCAATAGCCTTTACAGCTCTAAATATATATTGTTCAAAATGGGAGATCTGTTCTTAAAACAATGAAATTCACCATTCTTTGAGCCTTGGGGACTCATGTTCCAGAGTTTATTAGCAGCACAAGAGTTAAATACTTCTGTAGAGATATTTTCATATTTCTGTATGAAAATGAATATTTTTCACAAATCTCAAGATCTATGTCAGTCTTAAAAACTATGAGTTGAATCCATAACTGGGATCAGAAGAGTCACATTGGTTCTAGAAGCAATGGGAGGGGTGGCAATTTTTACTGGTTTGGGGGGTCCTCCAGAATAAGGTAGGGCAATGGTCCCCAACCTTGGGCCTCCAGATGTTCTTGGACTTCAACTACCAGAAATCCTGGCCAGCAGAGGTGGTGGTGAAGGTTTCTGGGAGATGTAGTCCAAGAACATCTGGAGGCCCAAGGTTGGGGACCATTGATGTAGGGGATGGCACTGGAGGCAGCAGAGGAAGGTACCGTTGATAAAATTTCCTCCTTTGGGAAGCTTTGTTGGATCTTGGTTTAATCCACAGCTGGAAGGAGCCTATCTGGATCAGCTCTCTTCATGTTGCCCAGAATATGTGTTGGGCATTAACTTATATGCATACATAGATATGTTATATATACACCTACAGGAGTGATTCATCTCTCTCTTTCTGTGTGCCTATAAACAGACATATTTTTACAGATTGAGGTATATTTTATTGAAATTGTGATGTCAATTGTTTCATGGGAGTAAATAGCTCATAAAGTAATAAAATATTTTGAGAGGTGTTAATTTTGTCTTTTAAGAATATATGCAGGATATACATTTTAAGTTGGTGAAAGAAATATAAATCTAATATACTTTTTCTCTTTGTTTCTTCTAAATCTGTTAGATTGGTTGAAAGCGTTGGGCTTGTATCTTAAGTGTTATGCTCGTGATCACTGCTGTTCTGTGTGGTTGAACAATTGCTCTGCATACGAGGGGGTGCTGATAAGTATTGAGCCTTTCCCAGAAGAAATTGAGCTAGGAAGCTATAAAATACAGGGTCAATTTATTGGCCAGTTTGTCTGTATTCAATGGTGCAAAAATCAACTACTATGATTTTAACTTATCTTTCATGTTCAGGTCCAAAGTGAACATGGCAGTACCTCCAGAAAAGTTCAGTGTGTAAGAGTATAGGACCATAATCATGTTCCTGTTTCTCCAAAGGAAAGGTGCAAAGCAGATCCATGATGAAATGTCACAAACTGAAATGTGACAGTGGCCCTTCATATGCAACAGTTAAACGCTGGGTTGTCAGTTTAAAAACCGGCCATTTCGGTGTTGAAAGTGAGAAACCCAGTGGAAGGCCTGTTTCTGTCTCTGTGCCTGCAAATGTGAAAGCCATCCATGACATGATCATGGAGGACCGCTGAATATCAGACAAAAGTATTGCTATATATCTGAGAATATCACATGAGAGAGTTGGTGCCATTATCCACAACAACTTGGAAATGAGGAACCTGGCAGCAAAGTAGATCCCCAAACTTTTGAACAAAAGAGGAAACATGTGGAGTCATTGGTGGCTGTTTTGGAATATTTTGAAAGAAATGAGTCAGATTTCCAGGGCAAACTGGTAACTGGTGATGAGACATGGATCTACTGTTATGATCCTGAGACAAAGGAACAGTCTAAGGAATGGAGGCACAGTGGTTCCCCCAGGCCAGAAAAGTTCCAACTGCAAAGGTCAGTGTAGAAGCAAATGGCAACAGTTTTTTTGGGATAAGAAGGGAGTTCAGCTGGCGGACTACCTCCAACAAAATTCAATCATCAATGCAAAATATTACTGTGCCTTATTGACGAAGTTGAGGCAAAGCATCAAGAAAAAACGCAGAGAAAAGCTCTCCAAAAGTGTAATCCTATTGCATGACAACATCTCCTCACACACTGCAGATGAAACAATGGCAAAACTGACGTCCTTAGGCTTTCAAGTGATGCCTCATCCCCCCTATTCTCCCAACCTGGCTCCTTCTGACTATTACCTGTTCCCCAAATTAAAAAAACACCTAAAGGGACAATGATTTGTGAGTGTTCTGGAGGCAACTAATGCTGCAAATGTGTGGTTACACCAGCAATCAGAAGAATTTTATTTGCAGGGACTTAAGAAGCTGCAGGACAGATGTTACAAATGCATTGACTTCCTGGGGGACTATGTAGAATAGTGTGGCAGTTACAGCTTCCTAGCTTAATTTTTTCTGGGAAAGGCTCAATACTTTTCAGCATCCTCATAGGTGATGCTGTCAAATAATGAAAATTATAAAAAGCGGTGTTGCAGAATTATTCACTGCACAATACAGTATACAGTAGCTGCTTCATATAATACCTTATAAAATGTATTTGATCCTTTTGGGGCTGGAAACATATGAGTAACTCCAAGATGTGCTTGTTTTGTGAATGTTTTTTGTCAAATAGGTTAATTGTTGAAGAAATGTCTCTTTCTAGTCTTTAGGGGAAGATACATATTTATGATGGTCTGAAGAAGCACATCTTAAATTGATACAGTTGTAGCACACATGGAAATCTTAAGGAGACTTGTGGAAGAATGATAGCTGACCACCACTGATAATGGATTTTTATGTTTGTTTTTAATTGGCAGTGAGCATACCTTAAACATAATTGTAAATGATTTTTCATACATAATGTCCTGGATATGTTTCCTTCTTTAAATAATAGGAAAGCAAAACAATTCACTTTTTCCTTTGTGATATTAAAACCTTTGGGTATCTTTCTGTGTTAACAATATTGTGAAAGTAATTTTGCTTAAATAGTATACTCTAAATACATTTTTCTCTTCCACAGGTGAAAAATTTTGCTGTTATTTATCTTGTAGATATCACAGAAGTTCCAGACTTCAACAAAATGTATGAACTGTATGATCCCTGTACTGTCATGTTCTTCTTCAGGTAAATTTATGTTGCTCAATAATTTGCAATTTGTCAACTGATTCAGATCTTTTTTTTTTTAATCTTGCTGTAGTATTTTTTTTCATCTACGAGCCTGTCCACACTGGCATGTAGATTGATATATGGATCGCTGTTGGCACGGTTTGGATCAAGCCAAATGACAGCATCCACACATGCTTCCCTTTAGATTGATCCATCTTTTCCCTTTAAGAGCTATACCACACTTTTCTGAACCCCTGTGAGGAGTTTTTACTATTTTGGTGCAGGTTGGCAGGTTCATGTAAAGTCCATTCCCAGCTAGTGTGGTTGCTTGGAACAGACTAAAGAACCTTGCAGATTCTTCCTGTGTCATTTCCACTACCCTGACATGTTTTGTGAGTCATTTCAGGATATCAGAAATTGAATACTTTCCCTGATCATTTGTGGATGATCAGGGGAAGTGAAATTATTTTTTTTACATCTGCAAGATCCTCATTGAAGTGATGTTAAAGTTTTTAAAAATTTGTTTTTTTAAAAAAATCTTTGCCTGTCTTATGTATTGTCAATTGAGAAATTGCCTGCAGCTTTCATTTCTCTTTCCATCCATCTTTGCATCTTGCCAAGGTCTATTTATAACCTGCTGAGGCAGACAAAGAGCTAAGCCTCCTACTCTGTTCCCCCCCTCCTCTTGAAGGCATCTTTGTGGCTTCGGGCAGTTTCTCAATTGGCAATACACGGGCAGGCAAATAAAATATTTTCTTTACATATAACTTTACATATAACAAGTACTAGCAAAAGAAACTTCTAAGGTTGCTGAAGGGAATTTCAACAGCTAAGCAGCACTTGTCTTCAAATCAGTTAAGCTGCTACAAAACTAGTTACGACTCATATCACTACAGCTGATGTGGTCTTAATAGTTTTGTGAGGGGTAAAATTGGTGTTTAAGAACTTAGGACTATAATAAGGATACAGAAACAGGTGCTGCAGTGGTCCGGAGAATCACCGTACCAGTTCTTGTGAAGTACTGTTTCGGAGCCATAGCATGATTTGGTAGGTTGTTAAAATTGCCGCCTCAGTAAGAAATGAGTACTGTATTTACTTACCTCTGAGAATGCTTTACTGAGACTTTTGAGCTCCAAGATTAAATCTTACTATGTGTCTGAAATGACAACGTTCATACGAATATGTTCTATTTGGATGTATAACTATAGCATGGGAAGGATATCAGAATAGCCATTTGAATTAGGTATATCTTTGTTGTAGTATTCATAACCTAACGTCTGCAGGATTAAATCAAGCAAACCTCAAAAATTATTCTAATTCTACCGAAATCAACTACAAGTACTAACTAGCTCGAGACAGCATTCCGAACAAAAATATGGTTTTGCTTCAAATAACAGTATATAAATGTTACATTAAATATTTACAGTGGAATATATCTTAACGTGGTTTCTCCATTTCCCTTTCCTTTCTTAAAGAAACAAACATATAATGATTGATTTGGGCACTGGGAACAACAACAAAATTAACTGGGCAATGGAAGACAAACAAGAGATGATTGACATCATAGAGACTGTTTATAGAGGAGCACGTAAAGGTAGAGGTCTTGTTGTGTCACCTAAAGACTACTCAACCAAATACAGATATTGATGCCGCACCTGTTTTCTTCAAGTCCCTCTCGTTCTGAAACATCATAAAGTTAACTTTTGTATAGATTTTTCTTACCCCTTCATTGTAAATATATTTTGAAGTTATGTAAATATGTTATCAAATATTAATGGAAAATGTTAGCAACTATTTCCTTTTAGAAATAAAACAGTATCTTCTTTACATCTACTTGTAGTCTTTTAGATCTCAACTTTCTTTCAGAAGTTTTTATAACACACTTCTATTCTTTGTTCATCCGAGTATGAACTATGACCAGCTGAAATATAACAAATGTGTCTGAAAATATAAAACTTGTTCTAGCAGAACATAAACATTGAATATATTCCCCCCTGCCCACAAACCACATATTGGCAGCTGAATTTATTTAACTGGTTTGTATCCAGATACATAGCTCCATGTTTGTGAGAACTGTGCAAGATGGCTTCATGGAGAATGTAGAGGTCTGCAAATTGAGGGGATACGAATGGATGGTGCTTTTTACTACGTGTTTGTGTTGTGGAGGCACCTTCCACAGCAGGATCTGTGGACCTCCTTTGGAATTATATTAGTTTGTATCAAGTTAATTTTTTTTGTTGTTGCACTTGACAAAGGTATCAAAAAACTGGTAACAAATATTAAGCATTTAAATACAGTACATTATGTGTTTTGTTATAATAAATAATTTAGGAATGCAAACATTTGGTTGGCCCCTTTGTGGATAGGCTACTAGATAGGTTTTTGGTAAATAGGTACAGATAGGAAACTGCCTTATACTGTGACAGGTAATTTTTGATCATCAGCATCTCTTCAGGTGTTTAGACAGGATTCTTTCTTAAGCTTAGTGGATCATATGGGCCATGCTAGATCAGAGTAAAAGCCTATTCAGTCCAGTGTTCTAGATGCCCATAGGAAACCCACAAGCGGGACATGGGTGTAGCAGCACTCTCCCACTCATGTTGCCCTGCATTTGATAAACAAGCTGGCTGCTTCAATTGGGGAGATAATACAACACTGTTATGGCTAAAAGGAACTAGTAAGCTTGTTCACCATGAATGTCAAATTACTACTGTGTACAGAAGTATAAGAAAGACTCCTTATAAAAATGTTTATATTTGTTGACAAAATACATAGAGCATATTCATCCTATTTTACCTTTAGAAACAATGATATAAAGCAGTTCTGTTGGCACCTAACCTACTGTCTTTAGTGCCTTTTCAATACATGCATTGCTGCTGTATTTGGGGTGTTTCATCTTGAGTACTGCATGCACATATTGATTATCCTCTTGCACATATGTAGGAAGGAGTAAAAGTAGTGCTTTGTGTCTGTAAGCCTGGAAAAGAGCCTTCTGAATATGATAAAGTGAAAAGAGGAAAGGCAGCAAATATATCAGAGCAGCCCTGGCCCAGCTCAGAAACATCATGGAGTAGAAAGCAAAAGCCTATTCTGGATTAATGTACAGTGAGTTCAGTACCCATACTTCTTTCTAGGTAGTGTAAACAAGATTTCAGCATAGGCAGTTCTAATTTTGAGAATGAACAGACCTTCTTAGTGTTCTTAATTGTAAATTGCATTAACTGCAGTAAAACTTAATTCTAAATAATTACAGTATAAAGGTCTTCAGGCACTTCATGGACTCACTTAAAGTACATTTAAGGAGCATTGTTACCATCAGTTCACACCCTTCATTGTTCCATGGAAGTAATGTGACACTTACTGTTAGAACTTCAAACAGTATATGTATAACGAACATGTATCCCAACTTCCATTGTACTATCTTACTTTTCAGTGGAGTTATACTACCACTAAACTAAAAGGCATCTCTGACCTCATTAATAGAAACATTTGGGACCCTAAGATACTCCAAAAGGTTGACTGAGTTTAGACATTTATATGGTCTTGTGAAGATGAAATGAGGTCTGTTTAACTTTCTTTTTTTAGAGGTTAGTTCTCATTTTCTCATTCAATGCATGCTAATCAAACTCTAGCCACCTTCCCAGGGTTCAGGTTCAAAAATAATAGTTTGCTTGTTTCTCACTTCATATTTGGAAGATACATATGAAAATAAGTTATTCAAACCAGACTGAAAGACAGTGTTCTATGTTCTTATATTTCAGTGTCATTCATATAAAGGTAGGTACATAAATATAGAAATATTTTACATAATAAAATACAGATCAGTTCAGCTTATGTAGATTTTCAGTTTCTGTCTACATCTTTGATATCATTTAAACATTCAGTTTTCTAAATTCATGTAACGGGAATCATAATAAACAGTACTGGTTTGTTCCTGCATTTATGTTAAGAAATGCTCCACTGTGGTGCAGTTGCCGTTGTTTAGATCAAGCAGAATTATTACGGGGAAGACTGCCTGGCCAGTGTGGAAATGTCAATATAAGGTTCTGAACATTCTTTTAATCGCAACGTTTCGGACACTCTTTACACAAAGTTTATAACATTCATGTATGATAAAGCCTTGCAAAGATTAAAAAAAAGCTTGAAAACTTTGTCTGTGGGCAAAGCCTATACAGATGTTTTTGTTATTTTTTATGAGTCCTCCTCATGAAGCTTGGTGCTACACTGAACCAAGTTTCAAAGTTTAATTTGACTGAATTTTATGCACAACTATCTTAAGGTCAACTTTTCCTTTATTACAGAATAGGAGATTTTGCATTTCTGCATAGTGTCTTTTTACTACAGTAGTACCTTGGGTTACGAAATTAATGAGTTATACAGGACGTTACGTAAAGTGAAGATTTCGTAAACCGGGATGCGGATTGCCATAGGAACGAAAAAAACAAACAGAGGCATTGTTTTCAACGGATTTCCATTCGTACTCTGAAAATGACATTAGCCGAGGCGTTCATAAATCAAAGTATTACTGTACATTCACTGACATAATATTCAATCTGACCAGTGTGTTACATTCTATAGAATTTTAGCTCCTACATACAGTCTTCGTGTTTTTGAGCCATCTTGATGCTTTCACCTTCAGTCCTGTACAAAAAACCAAAAACCCACAGGGATTGATTTGGAATTGAAAAAACAATCAGATTGATTTCAGTATCTAAATAAAAATTCAGCATCACACTCCACTTTTGCATTTTCTTTGAATTTAATGAAAGTATTTGCACATAATAAAGGTTTTTTAAGATTACTTTTTCTAGTGGAAAAAAAAATATTAGAGATGGGAGCTTCTTTATTCATCTCCCGGGGGAGACTTAATATGAAGCTCCCATCTCTAGTACCCTTACATCGCAAGTGGAGATGCTTGCTTACCATAGTATATATGTCATGTGGAGCAATTAATGGACCTTTCAGTAGCTTGTGTCTTATGAGGACGGGCTCAGCTCACCTCTAGGCCTTGTCCCCTCTGGTGGCGGAGGCAGGAGGAAGCAAAGGCGAAGGAGCATTCACACGGACTCTGGCACCTCTTGCTGCTGCCTCCCTCGCCTGCCTGATCACCATCTCCAGTGGGACTGACAGGGCTCAGCTCACGTTGGTGCCTTGTCCCCTCTAGAGGCAGAGGCAAACAAGCACTCGCATGTGCTCAGGCGCCTCTTCCTGGTGCCACCACCAGATCACCTCCTCCAGTGATCGTCTCCTTAGGGCAGGGGACAAGGCAGCGACGTGAGCTGGAGGTGAGCCCCAGCAGTTGCACCGGAGAAGGTGATCCAGCGGGCAGTGGAGACAGCAGCAGCAGGAGACAAAAGTGGAGGAGCAGTTGCCCATTACCTGCTCCCCTGCCTCCATCAAGGGTCATAATTAGGGGGTCACTTTATATATTGGGGGGTCATGTACATGGAAAAATACAGTACTTGTTATAAATTTTTCTTGAACTTGTTATCCTTTATCTTGTAAGCCGCCTAGAGTGGTTGAAGTGACTAGATAGGCGGGGTATAAATACAATAAATAAATAAATACTTTATCCGGGCAGACAGTAATAAACACAACTACATTATTTTATAGAAGCAGAACCTCACCGTTAGTTCTTCATTGGCATTTTCTATTCCAGCTTGTGTCATTAATCCAGTAACATGCTTCTCTAGATCATTTATGCTTTCACCCATTTCATCCAGTAAAAGAGTTAAAGACCTAATATGTTTACTTTCTATGTTTGTAGAATTCCTATAGTCATGGGGCAGTGGAAGGTGAGAATAATTTTTTACTATACAGTATCTAATGTTTAAAGTGACATAAAACTGAAAAAAGACTGTATTGCTGTTTAAAATGCTTTGTTACTACAGTGGGCTAGTGAATTTCCATCCCCATGTTGTTTTGGACCCAATTCATAGATAGATGAGATGACAAGACAATGTTATAAAAAGTAGTACTGTACTATTGGACTATGTCTTGCATTCACATAAACTTTCTTAAGGGCTTTCTTAACAAATTATTGTTCCATTTGGTTTTTATAAGTCTTTATTATAATTTTTTCTGAATAGATTTTTATTATATTTTTGAGATTACACGCAAAGAGAAATTATAATTTGATAATTATAAATCAAGCAGATTATTTACAAATGGCTTCTTCAGCATACATAATCTGCAGAATTTGTAGTACACTACGACCCACATACTTGTTGATCGGTTCCAATACCAATCACCGAGTGAAAAATACATACACCGAAAAACATGGATTATATTGAATACTATTATAATTGTAAATCCTATATATATCATGGTCTCTGGCTCCCTCTGGTAACTTCATAGTTAAATATATATATATTGGGGATTTTTCTAATATTTGTAGTGTTCTCAGACTGTGGATAAGTGAATCAGTGATCCTATGAATAAGGGGGTCGTACTGTATTAGCTTTAAGGAAGACACAGAAAAGGATATTTCTTAGAGCTAACTTATCAGTCAGTGCTTGAAATTTTTCCTGTAACTGTTGTAGAAGGCTTTCTGCCTGTGGGAAAAAGAGAGATGCTATTAGCAAATTATTTTTATGCTGCTGGAAAGGTAATATCATTAAGTTCATAAAAGTTAATATAATTTATAAAAATTAACAAAGATGTGTGTGCCTGGATTCTATATTTGGAACAAGAAATTATGATACTCAGGAAATTTTGATAAAAAGCGGAGGTGGGCAACTGTGATCCTCTAGAAGTTTTTGGACTAGAATTACCATCAGCTGCCACTATTGCCTATGATCGCTAGGGCTTATAAGGGTGGTTGTGAAAAACATTTAGAGGATCATAGTTGCCAACTCCACCTATGAACAAAATAACTATAAAGGCTAAATAAAAAAAAATTATTTAGACTACAATCTCATGCATGCTCACTCAAAGGAAAAGCCCACTATATGCACTGAGATCTACTTCCTGGTATGTCTTCCTAGGAAAGAATATACACTTGGAGAGTCTTTATTTCAGTGTTAGCATATGGGAGGAAATGGATATTTTTAAAACACCTAATAAAATAACCATTTTGTGAAAATAAAAGGAGCATATGGCCCAAGGGAGACAAAAATATCTTGAAAAATGAGTTCACATTTCTCACTCCTGAAAATGTGCCATTTCCCTAGAAAATATATGCTATAAATATTACCAATATATTAATAACCAAATAAATGTACTCTGCGCAGGATACTGCTCATGGTATATTTTGCAAATGTAAAACAGCTGGATTCAGTCATTTTCTTCAGAATAGTGCTGTTTATTCATTTCACACATTCAGAAAAAGCAATTGCATAAATACCCAGCACACAAGAAAGAATGTAAACCTATTCACTTTATGTTCAAACTATAATTATCAATTTATAATTGTAACAGAATAATGAAACTCAAGGTTGAATGAAGCATATATCACTCATAGTAATTATGACTCAGAAAATAGTAACATGTAAATAGTAGTTTCATCAAGCAAAGAAAATTAATATATCCATGCTGGTTTTATCCTGAACATCAGAGCCATGCCCATACTGATACAGTAATTTAAAACTAAGAGTTGAGTCATCATTTAATCAGGTTTAGTGACTGGTAGTAATTAGATATGTATCAATTAGCTGGTTTTTGGAGTAAATTTTAATTGAATGCCTTGCTGCTTTGAATCTGTTTTTTGTGTTGATTTTATTTACTGTTTTTAGTGTGGCATTTATTTGTTTCTTTAAAAATATTTGTAAACTTACTGGTTTCAGCTTTTAAATATTGTCTTTTAATAATGTAAGCTGCCTTGAGTTCTTTTTAAGGAGAAAAGCAAGGTGAAATAATTTAAATAAATAAACAAACAATCCTAGGCAGGTTTAAAACACACGCACACACACAGAGACACTTTTTAGGCAAGTATGCAACAAAAATTGGACGCTAAGCACAAGCATTGGAAAAGAAGCATTTCCTCTGATGGGAAGAAATACTGTAGATCACAAGACCCTTTTTATTATTATGAATCCACAAGGCTACACCTCCTGAAACAAATGCAGGATTTTCAGGGTATTGTTGCCTCCCTTTGGCAAACCCACCCCTACGGAGGAAAGGCCTCTGTGCTTTCAAAAACTTCCTGGAAAAGCAGAACCCCCTGACGGAGCCTCAGAGTCTTCTCCCGCTGATTTTTCTGCCCCTCTCTGGTCTGCTTTCGGCCTCTTTCCTGCTACTAGTACAGTTCGTGGCTGAGGCGTTGCCTGCAGAGGCTGCCCTCTGTCTCTCTTGGGTAGGGCAAGTGTCCGGGCAACGCGTGCGCAGGCCCGGGCTGGGGGAGCCCCTCAACACCGCCGCCTCCTCGCCTACAGCACCGGCCTGCGCCTCGAGGGCTAACCCATCGCCTTTGCCTCACTCACGAACTGAGAAAGCTCCCGGGCGCTGTGAGGGTCGTTGTCTGCCATTCTCTCCCTTCCGCCTGCCGTGAACTGCCTCCGACTCGTCCTTTTCTTCCTGGCTGTTTCCAAATGAAACCGGCACGGCCATCCGTGACGGGAACCACTCCCACCGGCTGGAGCCCTATGCACCTATACCTATCTACCGCCCGCCTACGGTGCCGCCGGCAAAAAGAGGTAACTAGAGAAGCCCGCCTTCACCTTCCCGGCTCCCGCCTTCCGCCTGGCCCTCCAGGCAGGGGTGCTGGTGGCTGCCTGTTGCGCCTCGCCGCCGCCGCCGCCGCCGCCGCCTTCGCCTTCCCGTCCCCAACGAATAGGATAAGTTGCGAGGGGGCTTTTCACCGCTCCTAATTTCTTTTCATACTTCATACTATCATATTGTTGAATATTAGGATGCGGAGTTTTTAATATTATTCTGAGTTCTGAGAACGAATTTCCGTATACCTGAGCCTTGGCATCTTCTGAAGTTAGCACCGAATACGGTAAGGGTGCATTTGTCTTTCCCCAGAGTCCTAATGCATCCGAAGGTACCTTTCCATAGAAACTCAACGCTATACTGTATGGATGTGAGAGCTGGACAGTGGAGGAAGCTAACTAGAAAAAAATGATTCATTCATATGTGCTTTTTGGGAAATGCTTCACAAATACAGTATCTTGGGCCACTAGAAAAACAAGTTGGACGTTTCTAGATCAGATCAAGGCTAAACTCTCACTAGGAGTTAAAATGAATCAACTGAGGCTGGACACACCGAAAAAGACAATAATGCTAAGAACAAATGGAAGGCAGTTCCAAAATAAAAAGACCAAACATGAAATGGATTGATACGATTAAAGAAACCACAGTCTTTCATTTGCAGGACATGAACAAGGTTGTTAATGATACGACATTGGAAGTTATTGCTTCATAGGGTTACTCTAAGTTGGAAATGACTTGATCGGAAATGGCAAAAAAACACTATGAACTTGACACACATTGATGGAAGCTGTTGTGGCACAGCAGGTTTATAGGCTGTCTGAAAAAAAACCCCTCCTTACTGTTTGCCAACTAGTTCTCATCTCTTTCATGCTAAATGCTACAGCAAGTGTAATTGTAAAATGTTGGTGTTATCAGATGTTATAAAGTCTTACTATACAATATACTGTTGTGAAAAGGTTGCCTTGAGCAGCCCAGATAGGCCGTCTGGCCCTGCCCCACAAGCCCAGGGGAACTGGGATGAGATTACGTAAGACTCCTGGCCCTCAAGTTGGTTAGGATGCACTGATCCAAGTGGAGGAAAGGCTAGCGCCTGGTGCCGGACAGCTGGTGGAGGATGCAATAGTGGGAATAAGAGGGCTGGAGTTGCATAAATCATGGTGGTGAATCACCATTATGAATGAGTTCCTGCTCCCATTCTCTTGTTACCTCTTTCATGTGTCAGTCTTGGTGTGCAATTAGAAATCTGAGTGGCAGCTCTCAAATTAGCAGCAATTCCCCACCAGTTTTCTGGTTTAAATCCACAATAGGATTCTGAATTCAACATAAAACAACTGATACTTTTTTATAATCACTACCTCATCCCTCTTTACATAATATATGATGTATGACTTTAAACTTTGTTCATTATTCATGCTTTTTCTTATTTAGCATATCTGATTGTACTGCACCTTGAATGCTGTTATTCTAGCACATGACAAACTCCAGGTATGCTGCCGTCTACTAGCCAGCTCACAGAACTTTTAAACTTAAAAAACAAACAGTCGATCCTTATGCTCTATCATAAAACTTACTCTCTTTTTAAAGCAGATCCTCAATTAGCAGGGAAGTGAAAACAACTATTTTGAAATAAAATAATTGCAAAGCCCTTTGGATGCATATAACAATTTTAATGGGTTTTCAATCTCATCATAAAGTTTACAAATAATACACGTCATAATATTTAATTAAGCTGCCATGGAGCATGGTAAACATAATTAAAGCTGGTAATCACTTCCAATTGTTCCTGCTCAATCTTAAATATACAGATGGTTTGCTCATGCTATGCAAAATCATGTTGGAAAGACTGGCAGGACAAGTTATACTGGTATGTATACTGCAGTTACCTTTATTTGAACTTTCCAGCAGTCAGTGCAAAAAAATATTTTTTTAATAGTCATTGTCAAAACAGCCATTCTTATGCCTAGTTTCTGGTAGGAAAGAAATGAGAAGATCTGGATAAATAGAATTATTATTGAGCACTTTCCTTGCAGAGTGCAGGCGGCATACAAGTCGAATGAATGAATGAATGAATGAATGAATGAATGAATGAATGAATGAATGAATGAATGAATGAATGAATGAATATTGAAGTGAGATACTTTAATAGATTATAATGTTTTTTAATTCCTTGTTTGCATTATGTTTAAAAATATTGTCACATTTGCTTTCACAGCATTTCTATAATCACCATAAAGCATTAATGTTTCCCTTTTACAGGAACATAAAAAGGAAAGAATTATTTTCCAAAGTGCACAGAAGCTTATAGGTTACTTAATATCAGGAATATACATATGTGCGTGGGTGTGGGTGTATGGCTGAATTTTCTTCTTGTTGCTCTTTAATATTCATTTAGATTATTGCTGCATGAGAGTGAAGCAAGAGATACTGTGCAATGCAGCAAATCAGCATTCCATAAGGCAATTCTAAAAATGAGGGCACAACAAACAAAACATTATAACTTTGAAACTGGATCTTGAGCAGCAGATTTGATATAGGGGTTGCAGACTGTATGCTCTTGTTTTGTGTAACATTTGGGGACATTTGGGCAAATGGTTTTCAAGTTACTATTTTATTAAAATAAAACTGTTTTACCTCCTTGTGCAGACATCAGCAACCTTTTTTGTCTGCAGATTTAAAACAGATCAAATACATAGAAAAGACTTAACTTGCTTTTCCTGAAAGAGAAGAGTTAATTCTAGCCACTTTTTTTATTTGGAAGAAATCCAGGCTTTGGGGTTGTATACTGACTCTGATAATTCACTTTTCAAAGGGGAACAACTTCTGACTTTCTGTCTTCCTTATGAACAGCACAGAGGTTCTAGAAATGAAGAGTGATCTGGACATTTGACTCTGCCAGTCAGGCCCAAATTAAATGACTCTCAGAAAGATGACTTTTTAACTCCTTCCTGGCCAAATAGATTGTGAGATTCGAGATGAGAGCCAGAGAAACTGTCCATCGGGGAATTGACACCTGAGAACTGGAGGAGAGATTTTTGAGAGTAACAGTCACTACCCAAACTGAGCAGGAATTGGCGGGAAAGGAGGAGAAGGGGTCTGTAGTAGAGGCGGAAATGAGAGAAATAAAAGGGGAGAGAGATCCAGTCCCGGGGGGGGGGGGG